GAATTTCACAGTATATTTAAACATTTTTGTTGTTGCTGTTGTTGTTGTTGTGTACCTTCAAACCAAAACCGACCCATAGCTGAACTTCCAGTGGGTTTTCAGAGGAAAACAGGAGGAGATTGTCCTGAACTGCGTGCCTTTGGGATTGCAGCACAGTTTCTCACCACTGGGCCACCAGAGCTTCCTAATGAGGAAGATGATAAAGGGAAGGAAGGAAGAAAGGGAGGGAGGGAGGAAGGGAGGGAGGGAAAGATAGAAATGCAAATACATAAATATTGCATTATACTGTGAAATACAAAGTAGAGGAGTGCTCTTTTATGAGACCTCTAACACATAGGGAGTTCTGGTGGCCTAAAAGGAGCTGTGTTGCCAACCCAAAGCCACTCAGTTCAAATTCATCCACTGCTCTGCAGAAAAAAGATGGGCAATCAACTTCCGTGTAATTTACTTCCTCTAAAAACCTCCTGGAGGGTCAGCTATGAGTTGATTACAACTCAATGTCACATATTAACAGTGAGAGTGAGTAAGTGTGTGTGTGTGTGTGTGTGTGTGTGTGTGTGTGTGTGTGTGTTGAAGGAGAAAATCAACACAAAACTGTTGCCTTGTTAAATGGCACCAAGTCCATTTCCACTCATAGCAACTCCATGGGACACTGCAGAATTGCCCCATAGAGTTTTCTAGACTTACCTTCATGTTACCTTTATGACAACAGAACAACAGATCTCTCTCCCATGGGGCCATTAGCCAAATGAAGCCAACAACCTTTCAGTTAGCCACCAAGCACTTAACCATTGCACCACCAAGACTGTTTCACGGTGATTAAGCCAAAACCTCACTGCCCAATTCTGACTCATGATGACCCTCCTTTACATGTCCAAGGTTAAAAATCTTTATGGGAGGAGATTGCCCGTCTTTCTCTCACAGAGCAACTGGTGGACTCAAACCACTGGCCTTTCAGCTGGTATCCCAATATATAACGAGTGCATCACCATGGCAATTAGTAACTTTTCATTTGGTTTCTGCAGTACAGTAAGGGATGTGGAACTAAAGAAGGTATTAAATGAACTGGTTCAGCACAGTTAGCAATTTTTCGCTAGTGTACATGTATTTGAAAAACTTGTCAAGGTCTGATCCTGGGCTGTAGGATAACATTGGGAATAGTGGCCTAAGAGCTGTCCTGAAGCGGGGATATGTGATCATGCTCATGTAAGGAAGATTGAATTGTGCCTTCAAAAAGATACACTGAAGTCCTAACCATTGTCCAGTGCCTGTGAACAAAACCTTTATTGGAAACAGGCTTTTTCAAGATGTAAGCAGCCAGATTCCTAACTCTGAATCCAAGGTGCCTGCACCACCCTGTAGTGCGAGCCAGTACCATGTTGAAGAGCATCTACCTGCCTCATTTCACTTGCTTCTTGAGACAGATAAGGGAGAGGCAGACAGTAAACCCACAAAAAGTATCTAATTTTTTTTAAAGGCAACATACAAAGATAAGGTTCCTGGGTGATACACGTGCTTTGCAACTGCCTAATAAAAAGGCACCTTAGTGGTGGAGTTGTAACATGTTGCTCGAGTCCACCAACTACTTTGTTATCAAAAGATCATTATTATCTCATCTTGTTTAAGATTTACTGCCTGGGAAACCTAGTGAAGGATCACCTTGTGTTGGAAACAACTTGACAGCATTGATTTTTCTGGTTCATAATCTAGAGGTTGGAGGTTTGAGCTCACTTTTTTTAGGCAATGAGAAAGTTCTGCCAATCTATGCCTGTAAAGAATATTGCTTTGGGGGTCCAAAGTTGATTCTGAACCATAATGACCCCATGTGATACAGAATGGCTGCACAGAAGATGTGTGGCTATAATCTTTACAGAGGGAGCTCTGGTGGCCTAGTGATAAGGAGCTGCACTGCAATCCTGAAGGTACACAGTTCAAATCCACCAGCTGCTCCATGGGAGAAAGATGGGCATTCTCCTCCAGTGCAACTAAAACTGCCTCTGAAAACCCACTGGAGGATGAGCTCTGGGTCAACTCTGACTCAAGGGTACACAAAAACAACAATCTGTACAGGGACAGATTGCCAGATATCACAGTGACACAAGGTGGAATCAAACTATCAAGCTTTCTGTTATCAATGGAGCATTTAATTATGAAGGCACCAGGATTCAAAAACCCTGTACCCACCACCACTGAGTCCATTCCAACTCATATCAACTCTTAAGAGTAGAACTGTCCCATAGCGTTACCAGGGCTGGAAATCTTTACAGGAGCAAACGGCCTCCTCCTCCTCTCATGGTTTGGCTGGTGGATTCAAACTGTCCACCTTTTGGTTAGCAGCCCTAAGGAGTACTCTGGCTAGATATCTTCCAAGACAGATGTATTTGTTCTCCTGAAAATTCATGTTGTATTCCATATTCTTCATCAACACCATAATTCAAAGCCATCAATTCTCTGACTTTCTTAGTCACTGTCTAAAAACAACACACAGGAGTTTGCATCAGAATCAGCACTCTTTGCTCTTTAAAGAGCTAAAACCAAGCAATTGCTTTAAAGAGGCCTCTCGGAGATTTGCCCAATGTAATGCCATTTGATTTCTTCACTGTGACTTGCACAGGCATTGACTGTGGATTCCAATAAAGTTATAGACATCATCAACATGTGCTCCATTTATCATGATGTCTACTGATCTAGTTGTGAGAATTCTTGCTTCCTTTATGTCAAAGAATAATTCACTCTGAAGACTATACATAGTCTTTATACTCCTTCATACAGTGTTTCAAGTTCTCTTCACATTCAGCAACTGTGTGGTATTGAATAATTTCTGAATCCTACTGGCTCGCTTTCCTTTGGAATGGGCATAAATGTAGATCTCTTCCAAGTCATTTGGGCCAGGAGCTATCTTCCAAATTTCTATGCATAGATGAGAATCAATGCTACTAACATCACACCTATTTGTTGAAACATCTCAATTCTCCATCAATTCTCAGAACCTTCTTTTTCCTCCCCTTGTCTTCAGTGCAACCTGAGTTGCTTCCTTTGGTGCCACCAGATTTTGATGACATGCCACCACCTGAAATGACTGCATATTAACCAATTCTTTTGGGTTTAATGACTGTGCATATCCCTTGAATCTTCTTTTGATATTTCCTGTGTCATTCAATATTTTGCCCACAGAAACCTTCAACATTGCTACTTGAGGCTTGAATTTTTTTGAGTGTTAGAAATGCCCAGTGTATTCTTCCCATTTGGTTCTCCAGCTCTGTTCACATTTCATGATACTTCACTTTGTCTTCTCAAGTCACGTTTTGAAATCATCTGTTTAGTGCTTCTACTTTAGCATATCTATCATTTGTCTTAGCTACCCTACTTTTTATACTGAAAGCAAACTCTACAAAACACTTCCCTTCAGCTTTCCCCCACAGGTGCAATTTTACCAAATGAAATCATTCATATCCACATCAAACTTTACCAGTTTATGCAAAATATGGCTTGTAGCAAAGAAATTCTTCATATTATACAACATCTTTACTCATAGAAAAAGCTTTACTATTTTTTTCCATTAAACACAGAAGCAAGTTGTTAGTGTTGACAAAATGATTGTGTGTCTGCCCTTGGACAAATGAACAACACCTATTTGCAAACAATAGCACTGTTAGAATTGATTCAAATCCTTTATTCTCCTTTCAACATCCAGCTTGTCCATCTCTTTCTATACAGTGTCTAACACATAGTAGGCACTGACAACTATTTGTAGACTAAGGTTTTATTTAATCCCTATCTTTTCTTTTCTGATCCTAAACTAGATGTTGGCCTTTTGAGGGGAGCACAGGGGAACTCCACCCATCCATTTCAGAGTAGCTATATCTTTTCAGCAGCCTTTGATCTATAACAATGGTTTAGCGACATTTCTGCCAAAGCTTTCAGAGAAACAAACACACAAAGGCAGGACAGTGTAACCAGGTAGAGACAAAAAGACCCTAAGACACATAGTAACAAACACATACAGATTCAGGGAAGGAGTAGCAACAGGAGACAGTAACAGAAAGATAAAGTCAGCAAGAATTAGATTTCACATAGTTCAAGATAAAGAGATGAAAGGATTGGACAAGACCGAAAACCATGATGTTTATTTCTTGTTTTAATACTGTATGATGGAGATAGTGGCAGAGGGAGAAGAAGATAAAGTTTGAATGGGAAGATAAGGAGACACAGGAGACAAGCAAAGGAGGCAGAAGTGGACAGCCGGGTCTAACTGCCCACCCCTAGGTTTGGCCTTAAACTCTTGTCTTATTCTCATCTCTTACTCATAAAGTTGTTCTCTCTGATGCTTCCAGCATTACCAAGATATGCCCAGGTTCCCAATCTCCACCCTTCCTAAAGATCTATGAACTTACTCTTTGCACATGCCAATCCTCTCTCTCCAGCATCAAACATGAGTCATTCTCACTGCTCCAGCCCATACTCAGCTCCCTCCCTCCTCAACTCCTAAAGTCTGGGAGGGAAATCCCTTAGCCACAAGGTGTGTGCTGTTGGCCCTCAGCTCCAATGAGCACATAATCTCCACTCCCCGAGAGATGTGTACACTTGTTAAAGTCAAGACCCTATCTTTTATAGTCTAGTATTCCTTTGCAATGTTCAGTCCAGTGCTGAGGATACTCTAATCCACGTGTGGATTGAACATTCCTCCCACAAGGAATGTCAACAGGGAGCTCACCCTCCTGAAATAGCTTCCAGGAGGTGGGGCATGCAGTGGCCATCTTCTGTGCTCTTGTGCCCCCTGCTGGCCAAGAGAGGATCACTCCACTGAATAGTTTACTGTCCAGAAGTGAAGTTCAGTCTCAGAGAAGCTGGCAAAGGCCCTTTTTTCTCAAGAGAGGCACTGGGTGTCATTCAAGGTTCTGATGAAGTTGGTGGACACAGTCCGGAACAGCTGGTGTGTTCTTGTTAAATATGGAGACACGTGGAGATCTCCCACCCTGTTCTGTCATCCAGCTGGGTGCTCACAGCTTCTCGTCAAGTTCCAGGCCCTCATTATCCAGGCCTGGCCCCCGGGTGGGGACCAGACCCTCACTCTGCTTGCTGGTCAGGTAGCTCTGGATGGCAGAGGCGCAGTCCAGCCGCTCCATGGAGGTCATGAGGTAGTGTAACTCCTGCAGGCTGCCATTCTGCTCCTGGAACAACTCCAGGATGGCGGCTGCGGGGCTGCGCTGGCAGGACAGGAACCTGGCAGGAGGAGAGGGGAAGAAAGGAAAGAGGAGGGAAGACGGGCTTCTCCCTCCTCTGGGCGCTGCTGTCTCACTTCCGGGAGAGCCACACTCACTGGCTCGCCCCTGAGATGAGCCTGAGCCCTTGTCCTCTCTGTGCTCTTGCCTGCCTCCCAGGAAGGATGGGCAGCAGGAGGACCCAGGACTTTGAACAGAAAGATTGTTCAAAAAGATGCAAAAGCTAACCCTCCCCTCTTTTTGCCTGTTTCCTCTCCTTACACTGAGGGCTTGGATGAGAAGTTTCTCAGCTTGCTTCCAGCACTCCTATATTCACCTTCTCCACTTGCTCAATTCCAAGCTGTCCTCGCCCCAGTCTAACCTGTTTCCTCCTCTGCTCTCTCCCAGGTCACAAGAGCCTGCCCACCACACTGATGAGGTGGTGGTGGTGGTGGTTGTGTGCTGTTGAGTTGGAACCAACTCAGAGCTGATCCTCCAGCGAATTGCAGAAAATCACACAGGGAGAGATTGTTCATCATTCTCCAGCGAGCAGCTGGTGGATTCAAACCGTGTGCCTCTGGGATGGCAGTGCAGCTTCTTAGTAGTTCTAAACAGGGCTTTCACTATGACCCTTTTTCTGCTCAAAAGCCAGCCTGGGTCCTCTCTGGTTCTCCAAGCCCACACTCCACCCTACCCTCCGGGCCTGAACCTCCCTCAGGACTTTTCTTTCCTTCCTGCACAGCCCCCACCCACAACCCCCTCAGCTGCTGGTCACCTCTTGCTTATCTCTCTAAGTCCACTCCCCAGCTGGAAGGGACCATTCTGTGCTCCCCAGTTCCCACTTCCAGCCATGACCCCCACAAAGCTTAAGTAGTCAGTCCTTCCCACTATTTTCTCTATTTTCAATGCACAGTGTGTTCTTAGATACATACAATAAGGTTCAAGGACTAGTTGGGGTTTGGGGTAGGGTTGTTTTAACCTTTTGTATCGCTCACTAGAGAAGCCTTGATGGTGCCATGGTTAAAACATTTAGCTGCTCATTGAAAGGCCATTAGTTCAAACCCAGCAGCTCCTCTGAGATTAGATGTGGTGGTCTCCTTGGAAACGTTACAGAGGGCAGTTGTACTCTGTGCAATAAGTCGGTTCACTAAGCTAGAGTCAACTCGCTGGCACAGCTCTTGTTTGCTTGTTTCTCCCTCACCAGTACAAGCTCCCAGGAACAGAATGATGTCTCCTTTGTCTTCTCTCCCAGCAAAGCCTGGCATGGTGTCTGATAAAGGCTTGGTGACCAGGTTATTTAAATTCTGCCCTTTCTCTCCTGGGTCTAACTCTAGCTCTATCTCCTGGGTGAAATGTTCCCCAATCCCTGCACTCATACTAACCCAGCAGCTCAGCACAGACCTGCTCTTCGGCTGTTTTCTTTTTTTGCATCTTTTGAAAGAGAGGATGACTGCACTGCTAATATTTATTCAACAATGAGCTTGGTCCAGGCACGGGGATATATGCTATCATTTGCTATACTAACCCTCAGGAAACAGAACTGGATGTTAATTAATTTTAAAATACGTATTGAGTACCTAGTATGCACTGAGCATCATTCTAAATCCTGAGGATAGTGATAAATAAAAGGAAACCAATGCCTTCAAGTCAATTCCAATTCAATGCAACCCTACTGAACTAAGTAAGTCTCTTAGGGTTTCCAACACTAATTGTCTCATCATTCTCCTACGGAATGACTGATGGGTTCAAACCCGCAACTTGGTTAGCAGTCCAGCCTTTAACCCACAGAACCAAATGGAGTGAGGAGTAGCCATTTTCAGACATTTAAGTCATTTACTTGCCCATGAGTACCCTGAACACCCTATTCTCATCCAATCTGTGCCCCTTGTTCCTTCCCAGCCCCTTTCTTACCGGATTTTCATGCCACAGAGTCCCAGGTGGGAGGCCAGTCGGCGCCAGTCATTGCCTGTGATGCTGTTTGGTTCCAACAACATCTGCAGCTGCTCGAAGAGCTCTGGGGGCAGCCTGGGGCAGGGGAAAGTGGGGTTCCTGGAGGGGACCATCAGCCTGGTTCACAGCCCACCTTCCCTGGGCCCTGGAGCAGAAATCCTAAACATGACCCAGGCAGCAGCCCGGGGTACGCCCACCTCACCTGTTGCAGGGGGGTGGCTGGGAGACTGGAGGTGGCACTGCCCAGGATTCCTCCTCTGATGCCTGGAACCTGAGGATCTCCATGTACTTGGTCTCCAAGCCCTGAGATAACAGAGGTCAGGCAACTGAGAGCTCACATGGCACTTCCTGACCAAGAAACTGAGGAGTTAGCCCCCATTCCTCATGTCTCTCCTTTAGCCAGTCACCCTGGGTCACTTCACTCAGAACCCTCTACCCTCTGCTCCACTGACTCAAAGAGCTCTTGTGGCCTAGTGGGTAAGGAGTTGCACTGCCAACACAAAGTCAGGAGATTTAAATCCACCAGTTGCTACACAGGAGAAAGATGGGCAATATCTTCCCGTGCAGTCAACGATGGGTCATTACCAACTTGAGAGCATGAGAGTTTACCCACAGACCAAGAACTCCACCTTCAGTCTTACATTTCCTCACTAAGCCCTTTCAAGCCTGGGACTGGAAACCAAATAAGGTGCATCCTTTTGTGGTTACTGAGTACCACAGAGTTAGAACCAACTCATAGCTGACCTCCAGCAGATCTACAGAGGCAGTATACTACACCAGAGGGAACTGCCTGTCTTTCTCCCACAAAGCATGTGGTGGATTTGAACCATGCATCTTTGGGTTGGCAGCACAATTCCTTACCACTAAGCAACCAGAGCTCCCGGAGTGCATCCTAAAACACAAGAAGTCCTAGTTGAGGTCACAGGAAGGTTGTAAAATCACAAGCACTAAATTCAGGCACATGTGTCCCTTCCTCCTGTGCCTCCTTTCCCTGTTTCCTCCTCCTCAAGGGACATCATGAAGCGTGTCTGTCTACCCTCCACTGAGATAGTCAGGTTCCTCAAAGACTCGCAAATGAGATTTCTCCATCTCTTCTTCTCTTGGTGGATTGTTGTTGCCATTCTTGTTATGTGCCATTGGGTCAGAACCAACTCATAGCTGACCCTCCAGTGGGTTTTCAGAGGCTATGAGGAGCACAGGAGGAGAATATTCATTGTTTTCCCTCAGAGCAGCTGGTGAATCCAAACCACCTGCCTTTGGGTTGGCAGTGCAACTCCTTCCCATGAGGCCACCAGAGCGCCTCACTGTTGCTCTTAGGTGCTATTAATTCTGACTCATATTGACCCTTTGCACAGCCTAACAAAACTATTCCTGGTCCGGTGCCATACTCACACTTGCTGCTTAAAAGTCTATCATTGCAGTCCTTGTGTTGACCCATCTGCTTGAGAGTCTTCCTCTTTTTTGCTGCCCTTATACTTTTCCAAGAATGTTATCTTTCTGCAGGGACAGGATCTTTCTGAAACCATGTCCAAATTATGGAAGGGGGGTGTGGCGAATCTCACCATCTTCACTTCTTTTTTTTTTTTATTTTTTTTTAATTTTTTTTTTTTTTTTTTTTTTTATTATTTTTGTGTGAGTGTACCGTCAGATCAGATCTGACTGGTACAGGAGGAGATTGTCCCTCCTTCCCCGGCAGAGCATCTGGTGGAACCATCTTCACTTCTAATAAGCATTTTGCCTGCACTTCTTCTGAGACAGGTTCATTCTGTCTGCAGTCCATGGTGCGGTCAAAATTCTTCACCAATACCACAGTTCAAAGGCATCAATCAATTCACCTTCAGTGTTTCCTATTCACTGTCCAGTTCTGGCATGCATATGAGGCGACTGAAAATACCATGGCCTGGGACAGGCACAGCTTAGTCTTTGAAGTCACATCCTTGATCTGTGACACTTTAACAGAGCTCCTTGGAAGCAGATTAACCCATTGCAATACATCCTTTGATTTCTTGTCTGCCCCACTTACTGACCGCTTCCCACACTGACGCCACTTCTCAGGTGTAGAGCAAAAGCCCTAAAAACAGTCAGCTCTTGACATCCCAGTTGATCTGGTTTGGAGAGAAGGGTGGTCTAGGATTTGGCTTTTTTATTTCTTGCTGGATTTATGGGTTTGTCCATTGGTAGTCAAAAGAGAATCAGGGATGGAGGGTAGCATGGAAACCTCATAGATGCAGCCACTCAAAGAGCTGGTCTGAATGTTCTTGAAAAGTTATATTGTTCTTGCTCATTTAAGAGCTTAAGACCATACTGACTAGGCCACACTTCTTGGGCAGTTCAAATCTACCAACCGCTCCACTAGGGGAAGATGGACAATCTCCTCCCATGCAATTTATGGCCTCTACAACCCATGGGAGTGTCAGCTCTGAGTGCTTTCCAACTTGACAGCAGAAACTGACTACTCAGCACCAGTTCCCTTCCCTTTTCCCAGGACACCCCCAGGCTCTGCCCCTCCCCTGCCCCCAGGTCCTACTCACATTCTGGAAGGTGTGCATGGTAACGATGATCTCATTGGTTTGTGCCGAGCAGTCTTCACTCTCACTGGCTACAAAGAGAAAGCATGCAGGAAGCAGGTGATTGAGATGAAAAGCCTGGGATGAAGCAGCAGAGAAAATTAAAGGCAGTGTACAGGGAGACTGGGAATCTGAGTTCCAGAGCAGGGCGTGATCTTACTCTCTGCACACGTCTGCAGGATTCCTCACTTGTAAGAGAAGGCCTGTGTGCATGACTCAGTGAGGAGCTACTGCATGGTTACCTAGAAGTGGGAGGAATAGACGCTGGGCTACGGGCCACCCCCATGCTACCTTTCTTCCGGAAGCAGAAGGAGCGGAAGGGGCACTTTCCATGCCAGATGTGGAGATGGGGAACCAGCTGGCAACTGCTGTCATCCACATTCTCCCAACCTGGGGACAGGGCAGAGGGGGTGGGGCTTCAGGGAGCATGTCCATCCACACAAGGCACCCACTGTGCAGCATGCCAAGTGCAAGAGGGAGCAGAGGAGACAGGTTCTAATGTGGACACGAGTCCCCAGACGGCCCCATTGGTGATCCTCCTTCTACCACTTAACATGTGTGCCATCCCCGTGCCCAAGGGCAGGTCCAACAGTCCAGACAGTAAAGGAAAGAGGACTGGAGAAGAGAGCGCCTGCTTCCCAAAGCAAATCTCGCCAGGTGGGAAAATAAAGCCTCTCTCTCCTTCCCTTCCTTCCTCCCTCCCAGGTGGCATCCCCTATATTCCACCAGAAAAGGGAGGAGTAACGCACAGCAACAGAAGGAAGCAAACAGGCAAACTCCCAGAAACAGCACGATCAGTGAGGGGGTTTCCTTGAGGCAGCCACCTGCCAGCCCAAGAATCTGGGAATGAAACTTGGGAGTTCCCAGACTTCTACCTCGCTGGCGCGGGGCTTCCTCTCCCCAGTGTCCCCCACCTCCCTCACCCTCTGAGATGTACTTGAGCTTCAGGCACTGGTCCCCACGGGCTCCTGTGAAGTCGAAGAGCTGGCAGGGCCCGCGCAGGCGCCCACCATGGGGCTGCTCGTTGGTCACCGCCCACTGCAAGGCGCAGGGTGTGTTGTTGAGGAAGTAGATGCGCAGCTGCAGGTGGGACTGCCCGGGCGCCAGGGGCGAGCAAAACACGGCCAGCTGCAGCCATTTGCGGGCCTCGCGCCCCAAAGGCGCCTCCAGCACACAGGTGTAGAGGCTGCGGAGGGAAACAGAGGCGCTAACGCACCTACAATCAGCACCAGCACCCAGGAAATCAAAAGATGAATTGCACTGGGGAAATCTGCTGTCAGGGACCTCTCCACAGTGCTGAAGAGCAATGATGTCAGTCTAGAGACTAAGGTGTGCTTGATCCAGACCAAGATCTTTGCAATCACTTGCTATGCATCAGATAGCTGGACAGTGGCTAAGAATGATAGAAGAAGAATTGATGCCTTTGAGTTATGGTGCTGGAGAAGAGTCTTGAACATACCATGGACTGCCAAGAAAACAAATAGGTGTGTCTTGGAGAGAATGAAACCAAGTTGCTCCTTAGAGACGAGGATTTTGAAGCCCCAGCTAACATACTTTGGGCACCTGGCCAGGAGGAACCGCTCCTTAGAGAGGGACATCATGCTTGGGAGGGTGGAGGGACAGCGCAGGAGAGGAAGGCCCTAGATGAGATGGATTAATAGAGTGATTGAGGCAATGAGGGTTGGTGTGTCAGAGTCAGTGAGATTGGCCCAGGACAGGACAGGGTTCAGAGCTGTTGTACTCAAGGTCATTATGGGTCACAGGTGACTCAATGGAACATAACAACAATGCACCTACTGAATGCCCCCTCTCTTTCAAGGACCTCTATGGGAGCCTCTAGGAACATAAAAACATCTCAGGAGGGTGGAAAGAGAAGAAGGTAGGAGAAACTAAGGCAAGCAAGAAGCACCATCACTAGGCAGGGGAGAGAGGGAAGATGGAGTCAGAATCACCATGCTTGGACTGAGAGGCCATGGCTCTGCTTTCATTGACGGGATGGCAGAAGGACACAAGATCCTAGAAAGCCAAAGAGATGGAGTACAGAGACAGACTTGGAATAGTCTTAAGATCTAGAAGGGATAAACAAAAGAGCGGCATAGATTAGAGACAGTTTCAGAGACAGTAGTGGGGGTGGAAAAGGTCGCCGACTTGGCAGCGGTTTGGGTAGGATCAGATGCTGTGGACAGGCACAGAAACAACGGTGAGGTAAGCAGTCTTGGACGCCAAGGGACAGGAGATTAGGAGATCATCTGACAGATTAAGAGCAGGCCGGTAGGGTAGAATAAGAGGCTGAGGCAGGTAGTGGCAGAGAAGCCGGGGCAGGGCAACAGGCCATGCGGAGATGCCTACCTGAAGTGGGAGAGGTGGATGCGGCACTCGTCCCTGGAGGTGTTGGCACCTGGCCGCCCCAGGGGCCTCCAGGCCTTGACGTCCAGCAGGTTCGTGTTGCTGCTATAAGTGCGCGCGTGGCTTGGCTGCTGAGCACAGTGCTTGAATGTGAGGGTGCAGGGCTTCAGGAAGGAGGCCCCATGGGGGCCACACGCCACCACGGGACTCACCAATGCTTGGGCCCGGGACAGAGAAGGGGCATCTGACAGGTCCCAAACCAGGACCAGAAACACATGCTCCTTGCGGCCCACGGCCACAGCACCTGGAGAGAAGGAGAGCTGAAAGGGGCTAAGCAGGGCACCCCACTCCCCACAGCAGACTGGGAGAGAAAGTGGGTAAGAGACCAGCAGAGAGCAGCGTGCAGGCGGTATGGGAAGGCACATACATATAAAACAGGAGCACGATGATAGTGAGCGGACATGTGGTATCATCTAGACCACCTCTAACCCTTACAGTGTCTTGTGTGAATTTGCAAAAGGCATTCTCCCACATGTCTCAGTTCATTGATTGTACAGGTGTCAGATGAATTCTGTTGGAACTTCTATCTGCCAGAATATTGTCATCAAAGATGTGCAATTTGACCCTCTTTGGAGTCAATAAAGTTATAACTTTACTACAGTCAGCAAAGCTGTAATAAAAAATTAACCAGTGTTCAAAATAGTAATGAAGTCTCTGAACAGTGCTCCCTTAGGGATGTGGTGGCTTTGTACGGTGCACAATCTGAGCTACTGTCTATAAGCTGCCTCTGGTGGCTTTGTGCGGTGCACAATCTGAGCTACTGTCTATAAGCTGCCTCTGGTGGAAGACTAACTGGAAGGGGACTGGGAGCTCTTACCTGGAGGAACAAGCAAGGAGATGCCGGTATCTTGGAGCATCAGGCAGCCACCACGGTGGTCCACCTCTCGAGCAGAGAACACCAACAGCTTATGCATCAGCTGGCGGATGACCGTCTGGCCTTGAGTGGGCATGCTCAGCTCCTGGTAGAAGGCAGCCATCTCTGCCAGTGTGGCTGGTGGGCACTGGATCGAAGGCTCATTTTCTGGCAGGGAAGTGGGCTGGGACACTGGGTCCTGTTCACCATCTGACTTCTGGCAGGTTCCCACCAGCCAATGAGAACAGTGCCATCGAAGACACTGGACCAAGAGGAGGACACTTGCCACCAGGACCCCCACAAGCAGTAGGAACTGCGAGGGTTGGAAGGAATCCTCATGGGGGCACATCCACCTGGTCACTTAATTTCACCAGTTCACTGCTCCCCTGTGTGAGCCAAGGCCAGGAGCCTGAGGAAAGGGCGGCAGTGAAGAAAGAATCAAGGTCAAGTTCAAACCTTCTCCTCGTTGTTAGGGTGAAGACATGGCTTCTAGAGGGATGCAATAAGGGAGCAAGTGCATCAGAGAGCCCTCCACGGCCAAGTCAAGTCCCTTCAACAGAATTTCACCTGTTTATTTCCTATGTAATGAACTGCCCTGAAACTCCAAGGAGTCCCAATGAAACTTCCAGAACTAATAGAGGGATTTTTCTGGGTTCCAGGTAAACAGACAAAAATCAGTTGGGTTTCTATACATCTCATCTGCAAGAGGAACTAGGGAAACAATTCCATTTACAATAGCATCTCAGAGAGTAAAACACTTATGAATAAACCCAACCAAGGATGTGAAGGACTTGTGCAATAAAAATTACAAAGCGCTGCTTCAGAAGATTAAAAACTCAAAACTCAACACAGATGACTCAGGATGGACTCATATCTGACCCTCCAGTGTGTTTGCAGAAGCTGTAAGTCACATGGGAGGAGACTGTCCATTTTACTGACTCAGTCACTGGCTGGTGGATTTGAACCACCAGAGAGGCACTGCCTTTGGGTCAGCAGTTCAACTCTCTACAGACTAAGCACAAGAGCAAGAAGTTAAAGGAGATGTTCCATGTCCACAGACTGGAAGGTTTAATATGTTAAAATGCCAGTAAAACCCAAAATGATGGCTAATTCAACACAACCCTGGTTAAAATTCCAGCAAGTGGGTTGTTGTTGTTGTTGTTTTTAAGAAGTAGAAAGCCAATCTTCAGTTTTTATCTGGAAAGGTAAGAAACCTCGAATAGCTAAGCAATGTTGAAAGAGAAGAACAAAGCAAGAAGATTCATACTTCCAGAATGTAATACTGGAATGTAATACTATAGAGCGACAGTAATAAAAACAGCCTGGTAATACTATAACAATAGATTTAGGTGTTAGTAAAACTGGAATTCCATATGCAGAAAAAGGTAACAGGATTCATGTCTCATTACATATACACACACAAAAAAAATTCAAGTAGGTTAAATACTTAAAGTGCAAACTAAAACTGTAAAATTCTTAGAAGAAAAGGCTGGGAGAACACTGTCAAGCTTAACTTTCAATAATGAATAATGTGGTAACTAAAGCACAAGGAGTAAAAGACAAAATAAATAAATAGGAACTCATAAAAATTACTAATTGTGTTCATCCAAAGATTTTATCATGAAAAACAAAAACACAAGTTACCAACTGGAAGAATATCTTCAGAAACCATATATCCAACAAGAATCTATTAGTCAAAATGCACACAAAACTTCAACAAATTAATAACAAACACAAATAGCCCAATCATTAAATAGGCAAAGAACGTGAATACATGTTTAATCACAAAAGGCATTAAAATTGTCATCAAACACATGAAAATATACTCAGCATTGTTAGCCAGCAAAGAGTCAAAGAAATGCAAGTCAAAACAATAAAAAGATAGCATTTCACTTCCACTAAGAAGATGTGGTAGCCTTGTAAGGAGTTACAATCTCAGTCCAAAGTAGGCGGTTTCAATCCAGCAGTGGCACTTTGCGAGAAGATAGACAATCTTCTCTCATGTAATTTACAGCCTCTGAAAACTGCTGGAGGGTTAGTTATATGTCAGTTCTGACTCAGCAACAATGAGAGAGGATAACTACTTTTTTTTTACAAGAATAAATAAAAATGTTGATGAGGATGTAGGGAACCTAGAATCCTTACTCATTGCTGGTAGAATGCAAAATGGTACAGTCAATGTGTAAAACAGTGTGGTAATGCCTCAAAAACTAAAACAGAACTACCATACAACCAAGAAACGCTCCTCGTGGATGGAAGGATGGATGGATAGATAGATAGATAGATAGATAGATAGATAGATAGATAGATAGATAGATAGATAGATAGATATAGATAGATGAAAGGAGAGACTCAAAAAGAGACATTGTTCATTGTGACATTGTTCACAATAGTTAAGAGGTAAAAGCCACCTAAATGTTTATCAACAGATCAAATCATAAACAAATGTATACACAGTGGAATACTACTCAGCTAGTAGAAGAAAGTAAGTCTTAATATATTCTCTAGTATGCATGGAGTGTCAGATATTAGATATTATGCCAAATGAAATATGCCAATCACAAAAAGACAAATTATTCTGTGATTTCATTTATATAAAAAGACAACAGAGGGTAAATGTGTGGAAACAAAAGTTTATTAGTAGTGACCAGTGAGAAGAGGGGGAATTAAGGGTTTATATAAAGTTTATTGTTCATTATGGCTTTCTAGGCATCTGAATGTGGATGGCAAACCATGTGGATGGATAGGACTATGCAGATGGAGTGTACTGGCCTATCCACAAGGGGACTGTCAATCTACCATGCCACAAGGGGGCTGGCCAGTATTAGCAATCTACAAGAAGATTGGCTCCTCTGGCCAATAAATTGAATAGCTCTAACCATAAAGACAGATCCTCATCCCACTTCTCACCATCCTGCCACCACCAGTAAAGAAACCTCACCACCAGGGAAAGAATAGCCATAGCCAAAAAGGAGACTTGAAGTGAGATGAGACCTGGAAGGCTGGGGATTAAACAAAACTTGGAAAATCTGAGAACTTTGCTGGACAATTGAGAGGGAGCACCAATACTGACAGGACTGAAAACTTGTGAACAATGGCCTAGAAGCTCAGGACTGAGGTGTATGAGGGCACATTTCGGGACTTACCTGGACTATATTGTATTCTTAATCTGTGTGGTCTGTGAACTATCACATCAGCTATTGGACCCACCAAAACAGTAAGAGTAGTGTTGAGATGAGAAGAAAGAGGTATAGGAACATCGGGGCTGGAGGGGGGACATGTCTGTCCTCATGAAAATTGGTTTTGTGTTATCGATGCTGTGAATGGGGACAGTTCCCCTTTGTGAAGTTGATAAAAGTCAGACATGGCCTTCTCCACACGGCCTTTCCCATGTAATACAAATGACTATTGCAATTGCTACCAACAGGCTGTATACCTGTAAAAAGTTGAATTGGCAAAAACTGTAATAGCTATATTTATAACAATGACTCCAGAAAAGAAGAGGCTCTATTGAGGATGCTTATGTACAATGAAATACCTTGTGAGATTTGGTTCCATCATTTAGCATAGGAACCTATAAAACAGTGAGTTTATGTTAGTGAGGAGGACCAATTCAGAAAAGGGAGAGCTGATGGCTTAGTGCTAAGGAATTGTGCTGCCAACACACAAGGTATTGGGTTTGAATCCACCTACTTACTGCCCAGCAGTAGAAAGATAGGCAATCTCCTCTTGTATGATTTACTGTCTCTGAAAACCTGTTGGCGGATGTGCTATGGGTCAGTTCTGACTCAGTGGTGCACCACAACAACACAACTCAGAAAAGGAGAATGAGAACAAATGCACAATTCAAAGAATGCAAGCAATGACCCTAATTGGTACACGTAGAAAGTGTTGAATTGATGTATGTTTTGCTGTGTATGTAGAAAGGGGGGGCGGGAAACAGCAGCAGCTGCTGTGGCTCCCCATGAGTAAGGGCATCAAATGAAATTCTTCTGATGTAGAAAGAGCTTGGGTTTGAAATTAGAAGATGTGAGTTCAAATCCAGTATGGTTGTTGTGGCTCAGTGAGCTGGCCATACTGTCTAATGTGTCTCTATTTCCTTATCTGTCAAAATATCTCCCTTGATCTACATATGCTGATAAGGAAAAAAATTTCAGGAAAAGCAAGTCACAAAGAAATAGACATCCTGCATTCTCATTAATGGAAAACAAAACAAAAACCTGTACAAAGACACATATGTATGTATACATATTTCATCTCTAGGACTTGAGTGTGTGAAGATGATTGTGAAGATGGCCCAGGATAAAACAAGGTACAGATGTGTTGTTCATAGGGTCACTATGAGTCATACTTGACTTGATGGCACCTAACAACAATAACAGGTGGTTCAAGTTAACATACTCAGCTGTTAACCAAAAGGTTGTTGGTCCAAGTCCAACCAGAAGTCCCTCAGAAAAAAGGCCTGGTAATCTCATTGTAACAGAAGTTACCAGTAGCTGAAACCAACTGAACAGCAACTGACTTTTTAAAATATACAAATATTTAAAATGTATGTAAATGCATAGATGAAGGGTTGGAACAGTGCTGTCGATTAAAACTACAGTGAAAACAACATAATTTCAACTTTTCTAGTAGCTATATTTAAAAAGCAAGAAGAAAAAGGAGAAAGTCATTTTAATAATATATTTTATTTAACACAATCTACCTAAAATATCATTCCAACATGCAATCAATGTAAAAATTACTAATGAGATATTTTATATTCCTTTCTTCAAACTAAACCTTGTGTCTTCCACACTTTTAAAACATCTCAACTGGAGCTTTCTGAAGTTCAAGTTCACCATTTGTCCATTTGTTTCACATACTTTGGACCTGTTATCAGGGGAGGCCAGTCCCTGGAGAAAGACATCATGCTTGATACAGTGGAGGATAAATGAGGGTAGAGGCAGAGCCTGGAGATGGAGTGACATGATGACTGCAGCCTTGGGCACACAGCAGAGACTGTAAGGCTGGCACAGGACAGGGAGATACTTCGTTCTGCTGTACACGGGTCCACTGAGTCAGAACAGACAGCACCTAAATACAACAGCCTCAGCAACACAGGTGCTTAGAGTGGTTCATGATTCCTGTTTCAAACATTAAGTCTGGACACCTCCAGTGATTCCCATCAGGTATTATCAAGAGAGGGGATGTTAGTTAAGAGGAAGGAGTAAACACATAAAAAAAAAAAAAAAAGCCCCAGTAACAGAGAATGGGCCAGCAAAAGCCAGAAAAAAGAGAGAACCTGTAACAATAAACATCCTGGAGCCTCTAGAGGTCAGAGTCCAAATCCACTCCCCTCCAACCCAT